TTGGGCTGTTTCCAAGCTTTAGCTATTACAAATTGTGCCGCTATAAACTTAGGTGCACATATGTCGCTGTGGTATGATTCTTTTAATTCTTTGGGGAAGATTCCCAGTAGGGGAATAGGTGGGTCAAATGGGACCTGTAGTCCTAGTTCTTTGAGGTATCACCATACTGATTTCCACAGTGGTTGTACCAATCTACATTCCCACCAACAATGGAGAAGGGTTCCTGAGAAAGGCATTTATTAAGCACCTACGATGGACCAGTCATAGTGTTACATGCATTGTATACACTCTTTCTTCTACTCTTCACAGGAATGGGGCACCAACAGCTCCTGCCTGATCTCACAGAATATTTGTTACTTCCTACAACAAGAACTTTTGCAAATTGATAACTCAGAAAACAGAACAAATGGGATAAAATTGTAGCAAATTTCATTTAGGTTTCTTGCTAGCTTTACTGTATCTGTTTAAATTACTTCTGAAGCCTAGAATATGACAGCAGTTATGTTTGAAGTTTGAAAATTAGGACTGAGCTTTATTCATCATTAACAAGTTTTGAAAGAATTTTAATTAAGAGTTTAAATACATTTTCAAATATTAAAAGTGATTTAAGACATATTTTAGTGTTTACTGCTAAATGGTATCTTCTAATGCTGTTTTTCATTTCATTTATTCTAATTGGTTCTTCCTCATTTTCCATCAGCTTTTATTAACAAAGGACAACCTTTGTATGCATATACAGCACGTCCATCTGTAGTGTTCTTGTCTCAGAAACAGCAATTCCATTGACTCCAGCATTCAAATGCCCATGTGAAGTTGTTCATCTTTAGCAAAGCTGCGCCAGACATTCTCCAAAGCAAATATGTTTAGTATATTACTTTGTATTCTTTGAACAGGCAGCAACATAGTTTTGACAGCTTATTTTCAACAGCTAAGCATGAAGACATTGTAAAACTGTCTAAAGGAATTTTGTCTGGTGTTAATGATCTGTTTTGACTCTTTCTTGTCTACAGTGTCTGATGTTTCTGCTTCGACTTCTGCTGCTAAAGATAAGATGACATTTCACAGTCGGGTTCATCCCATGAAAAGTTTAATTTAATTACAGATGAGTCTGATTTGTTAGATTAAAAGGTCAAATATTATAAAATTCATTTGGGTGCAGAGATTTGAGAAGGTTGTACAGTGCAAAGTTCGTACAGCAAAGCAAGACCAAAGTACTTTAAAAACAAGGCAAAATGAAACACCAGTGACTATTTTCATTTGAGAAGAGACACATTCAAGTGTATACAAGGAACTGTACACATAACTTAAAATCACTTAAGGTCAACACTGATTTTTGCATAGGGTGATTTGCAAAACAACAACAAAAAAGGCAGAATATGGGGAACCAGGCTAAAACTGTCTTTTAAAATTGCACAAGATTGGGTAGAAGTGTTAAAATGGTTCCCAGGCCACACAGGCAAGAGCTGCACAATTTCTTTCCCTGCTTACCAATTCCCCTTTCCACCACAGACAAAATCTGCTCAATTTTTATTGAGATGAAATGACTTCAGACTTAAAAAATTCAATGAATTCTAGATAGCTATATTTGCTTTCAGAAAATGAGAGGCAATATGAGTCAACACTCCAGTGCAGCTTCATTTAAAAACATAAAGTTCCTGAGTAATGAGGGCTAAACCATGGCACCAGGGTCAACTTGAGCAGCTGACTTTCAAAATCTGAAGCAGCCAAGTGACTACCTTTATACCAGAGAAAGCACAGTCTCAGAGGTTCAGCAAGCTAAAAATGAGTTCTGGGCTGAGAGAGTGTTAATAACTGTGTGCGTGCAGGAGAGGCAGGCGGAGTGCAAGTGAGAGAATCTTATGGACTCTCAAAATTTGGCTTCATCTCATAAATCAAATGTTGATCAAAGGATAAAAGAGGATAAAATGACTCAAAGATTCCTGGCTAGAGCTGCTAAAAAGGGAGGCCACTTCATTAGGTAATACGATGTGAGGGATGTGAGGAACAGCTGGCATTTCAGTTCCATTGAAAACTCCTCAGCTTATCA